AGCCTTTTATTCTAGCCACACAAGCTAAACAAGTGTTCTATGTTACTGATCCGAAAAGTACGAAATGATTTATAGTTCTTTTTTCCAACAAAGTAATCAACGATAACATTGGAGAAAAGGGGGAGGTTGATGTTGAGAATGAATCTTATGTTAGGGATGATCCAGATGAGAATATTATAGCAGACGAATCATATATTAGAAATGATCATAGCGAGGGAATTTGGATCAATCCATCCGTCCGTGTTGTTAAGAGACAAGTAAAGCACCTTCGAACTAAAAAAAGAAAAAGATGTTAAAGGTACTTGTAAAATTACATATTGTCTCATTCAATAAAATAACATATTATTTCTTATTTATACGTTTCTTATGTGTGTATATATATATATATATATATATATATATATATATATATATATATATATATATATATATATATATATATATATATATATATATATATATATATATATATATATATATATATATATATATATATATATATATATATATATATATATATATATATATATATATATATATATATATATTTCTTATTTACATATTTGAATGTCATTCATTTGATACTTTAGTTTTCCTGAATTACAGGTATATTATGGCCAGCAATAAAGATTGGAAGAAATTAAAGTAGAATTGTATAATTTGTGATGTTGAATTTCGAGTTGAGAATTGTATATAATTTGTGATGTTGAATTGTGAAGCTTTTGAATTATATATATTAAAGTGGAATTGTATATAATTTGTGATGTTGAATTGTGCATATAATGCCAAAGTGTTGAATTGTGCACATAATGCCAAAGTGTTGAATTGTGTATATAAAGCCAAAGTGCTGAAATAAAGGGCTAAATTATATAAGCAGGTATTGTAATATAAGCAGGTTTATTGAAAAATATATAAAAAATGCCATTAATCAGGAAATTTTTTTTTCAAAACGTGCACATTAGACAGCGCTTTTATGTATAAGCGCTGCTAAAGGGGACAGAGAAACTGCTAAAAAAGCGCTGCTATAGGTGGGGAAAGAGGGGTTTAAGACAGCGCTTTCATAAAGCGTTGCTATAGGGGGGGTCTAAGACAGCGCTTTAATAAAGCGCTGCTAAAGGGGGGGAGGGGGGGAGATTAGGCAGCGCTTTAAAAAGCGCTGCTAAAGGGGTAAAAAAGCGCTGCTAAAGGTGATGTTTTTAGCAGCGCTTTTTCCACAAAAAAAGCGCTGTCTTTACCTTTAGCAGCGCCACTTTAGGCAGCGCTTTAAAGCGCTGCTAAAGGTCTGTTTTGGCATAGTGAATGATCTTCTATACATCTCTTTTAAGTTATTTTTATATTGAAAAATATCATTTGAATATCAAAAAATAGTTTTTTTTGTCAAATTGTTTAATGACAGAAATGCACCATTTTAAAAAAATAAGCATGTAGTATGTTGCATATTCGAACTCGTACTCCTACATTTAATATCTCTGCACAACTACCAACTAAACTATCTTAATGAAATAAATAATTTTTATTAATAAGCTTGAAAATGAATTCGACATGATATATATATATATATATATATATATATATATATATATATATATATATATATATATATATATATATATATATATATATATATATATATATATATATATATATATATATATATATATATATATATATATATATATATATATATATATTGTTATAGAGAACAAAAAAAGTTTATATATATATATATATATATATATATATATATATATATATATATATATATATATATATATATATATATATATATATATATATATATATATATATATATATATATATATATATATATATATATATATATATATAAACTTTTTTTGTTCTCTATAACAATATATATATATATATATATATATATATATATATATATATATATATATATATATATATATATATATATATATATATATATATATATATATATATATATATATATATATATATATATATATATATATATATATATATATATATATATTGTTATAGAGAACAAAAAAAGTTTGTCCTCACAAATCATAGACCTTACAGTGGAGAGATCATTAGTATGTTTGACTCTAATATTTTATATGTTCAATAGGCATCACAATACAAAAACTGATGGTAAGTATGTATGTCACTTTGTTGCAAATCAGTATAAGGTATTGAAACACCAATTAAACTATATTGTGATATAAGGTAGTTCATATAATGTTCAAAAATATTATTTTATATAAAGTCTTTAGTGTTATATTTGTGAAAGTCCTCGTATAAGGGTGACGCAAGGGTCCCTACCTCAAGAGGTGATGCATGGGCACCACTGTTATTTGTTAGGGGTCTTGCCCTCCTAATAAGACACGTGCACAATATTGTTATCCCTCTTTGAGTTATGCATATTGGGTCATACCGTGACTTCTTGAAGAATAGGTAGTGAACAACCTCCTTTAGTGAAAAAAGGAGCAGTTACTACCTCCTAGGATTTCCTAAGTCTTAGGTCCAGTGGCCTTCTAAAAACCCATCATCCTAATAGAAGAAGAACAAGTCATAACTTACATATAACACCTAAAACAACATGCTTGCATACAGAGCCTCTCACCTCACGTGAGCAAGACATCTAAAATCACTGTAACACCACGGTACAATGCTTTTTGCCACTACGAGGAAGTGCTAACCACCCTATATTATTATAAACATACTAAGGTCTATGAGTATTGCTTACTCTCTTAGAGATACCATACACACCTATACTTTTTGACCATAACAGTGGCATCCACCATGGGACCCCGGTAAAACTAACCTAGGCCACACTTTCTTCAGCACAATCACCATACTCATTGTTATCCTCCACTCCTATATATCACCTCTATCAGCCACGATTAATAGGAAAAATCCATCCCCTGCACCAACGCCTTGGCGGAGATGCGTGCTGCCATGAACAAACTATGTCGTCATAATTAGACACTAGAGGATAATATCCACACAATCAGACAACGCCAGTAGGAGTCCAATCTCTCAGAGAAGATGGAAGTGTTGTATCCCTAACCAGTCTTAGACGAGATATGGGAAACTTCTATCTCTAAAGGATTGAAACCTCCTTCTCTATCCATGTTTGATGGGCACAACGATCTTTACAAACACGTCTCCTCCATCAACCCACATATGGCCATTAGACATGGGAATACTAAGGGGAAATTAACTCGAGCCCCTGATCTAAGTCCTCTTTCCATAATAGCGTGTATCTCATCAGCAATGATTCTAGCTACATCAATCTGAACATTAGTCAAAATACTGTGAACCAAGTGTTCAACTGGAATGGGCATAGTAGAGGTATGCAACTTCGGCTTGATGTTAGTAAACACCAAGAGAAGTACCAGCTAAGCTAATGGTCACATATCCTCCTTGTGGTATCTTCTAGGAACCCTAGACGGGTTCAGCTCCACCGATTTTCCCTATAACAATAATGCACCAAAAATGGCCTCCGTGTCTCTATGCAGCCTCAAAGTTTGATGATACTGGTCAATTTCTTCTTCTCCCAAGGTTAGAGGCTACCTAAAATATGATTAATGGTATCTCGATCAAATTTTACCTCTCTTCCACAAACCATAGTAGTCCAAGAAAAGGGCCCATCATCACCTGGAAGTGCATTGGTGTAGAACTCTCTTACGAGCTCTACGTTGTAACTGTCACATGGCGTGATTAGCTTGTCCCACTTCTTACTGTGAAGGATTCTCGCTATTGCTCGGTAGGAACCTTGTGGTTTGATGTTAAACCTCTTTTTTTTGGAAAAATGCTCCTCTTCTTGAGAGCAAGATAACGAGTAGCTTGCTTAGCTTCTCTGAACCTCTTAGTATCAAATTGGATTGGTTGCGGACGGGATGAACTTCCGACCTTTCTTTTCTTGGAAGGAAACCATTGTTTGCTATTGAATAGTGATGGTCAAGTTTATCATTCAATTTTTAATACATTGTTATTTAAGATTGGGCATTGGAAATCAAAACATTTAAAAACCACACTAATTAAAACATTCACATATTCAAATCACGACTAACTAACATACTTACAGAACATTAAATAATGATGATATAAAAACATTAAATCGATGATGCATGTTCATGTTTACGATGAAAAATTTTAGATTATAAGTTTTAGTACACAACAATCAAATTGGACCAGATTACGGACAAGTTAAGTTAGGAGTAGAAGAAAATATAACTCACATGCTTATTTTCCGGACTGCTACCCAAAAAAGATGTGCAGTTTTCTTCTTAATCATTGTCTCATTCAATCTCTAAATAGCTTCCTCAACATTTTTTCTGTAATAGAAACATCATAAGGCATTAAATAAAGTTAAGACATGGTTAGAACAACAAATTTTTCATTAAAAGAAGTTGTTTGGATAACTTCAATCAAATGTCATTTGTTCAGCTGCATGTCTGATAGATTCAAAAAGTGGTGAAGACAAGTAACACTCTCCAAAACTCAGAAAAATCGCATGCACAACATCAACTCACAATTACTCAACACATTTACATTAAAAACTAATAATCTACATCAACACCTGATGAAATTCCCATCTGCAAAAGGCATACATAGTATCATCATATTTGTAGAGCCAAATAGCAAGAATCACAAGCGGTTTCCACAGTTTCTTCATTTGAAACCTATAGTTCATAATAATACCATAGTTCATAATAAATAACATATAAATAATACAAATTGGAACGGCTCAAATGAATAACAGATATTTATATTCATATTTATAAAATCATCGGGCAAAGACAATAAGTATTCCATGTTCACGTATCCAGGTTCATTTTTCCACGGTATTCAGGTCCATTTGGCAACCTCTATGACAACCACAACTCAAAACCATCTCAACCATTGATAAATAAAACAATAAAAGCTATATTAAACTAACTAACACATTGAAAACAACTTTTGAATGAAAAAAATAACTTTTAGATAAACAAAATAGTATATAGCTCTCATCTTATCGTTAATCTCAGGTTGTGTTTGCAATGGACACAATTAATGAATATAGCTCTCATCTTGTCGTTAATCTCAGGTTGTGAGTCCATATAATCATGTGGACGACTCTCATTCTTCATTGTTCAACTATACATTATCATATTCAAAACAAAATCTTAAAGAATGAGATAAATACAAAACTTGTTTTTGTTTATTACCCAAACTAACTTGTAGAACTTGTAAATGTCATCAAGATATTCAACAACAACAAGTTCATTGTTAGCATCAGCAGCATCAATGTCAACAATCTCCTTTGGTTTGTTTGTCAAACCACAGGAAGCCTAATAGATTATGAAAATAAAACATGTGAATAAATGAACATATAAAAGACTCATCAAATCCATAGCATGTCTCAACAACAAAACCAACAAACAAACCTTGCTTCTAGCTGTAAGAACAGAAGTAAGAGTGTGTGATGATTTCTTCTTGAAATTAACCTCTCTTTCCTTTCTGGTGTGCACAAACTTTTCTTTAATGCTCTCTTCTTCAGAACTTATTATATCAATTACTTCCACAAACTTTGGTTTTGCAGTTACTTTATTCTGAACAGGTTTAGGGGTTGCTGCCACTCTTGTCCACTGGAACTCTCTTAATAGCATCAGGATGAGAAACAGGTCCAAGTGCAACATTAGGACAAACTTGCTTCTTCAATTTCAATATGTGATCAGGTTCTGCCATTAAAATATACATGCATCAAAAGCACAGAAAGTAAGTCAACTTATATTTTTGTCAAACAAATAAAGAGTATATCACATAGGATAAGAGATCTAACTCTTCCTCTATTTTAGTATTTTGTTGACACTTAACAAAATCCCATACATAATCAAAACAATGTATCTCTGCAAAAAAAAAAAATCAATGTTTCTACAATTACATAAATTGTATTCACTCCTGGAAAAAAAAAACAAAAAATCCAAACAGGGCATAAGCTATATTGATAAACTCTCCCAAATAGTTTCACAATACTATAGGCTAATCAAAACAGGTCATAGTTTTAGCAGCAAATACAATATTATTTATTCAATATGTTAGAAACAATACAAAAATAATGATACACATATAGAAGAGTATAACTGAAAGTCTTAGTAACCAGCCTCACCCGGTCTAGACCTTTAGGATGTGGATCAACAAAAACAGTAGGAATTCTCCCATCTCTAACCCGGGTAAATTCATTATTTTCTTGTTCCCAAGAAATTATTCACCAAGGATTTCCACCTAACCAATATTATCTCTCTTTTCCTGATTTTTGTTGAATCATGTTGCAAGTTTTCTTTTCCTGCATCTGCTTGTTGAAACCAAGACCAAATAAAATTCCAGCATCACACTTTAATGCAGTTGATGCATCCATAACTTCCAGTTGTTCATAAACTTGTTTACAAACTACAAATCACTCGATAAAAATATGGTTTAGAATGGAAAGTGGATATATCTATAAATCAACAACATGATGACAATTTTTTAATCTCATTGTTGTTATGATTCAAGTAAATTTCAACCCATATGAGAAAAATAGCAATATCTAAATGGCCAAAATAGTTTAAATTTATATCATACCTCCTAAACGTTCTACCACAACAAAATTAAGAATGGCACCAACCATATATTGAACACGATGATGCATTTGTAAGGCCACTACAACAAAATATGATTTCTCGTGTGTTTCAGGTTTTAGAAAACACATACCTTTTCTACCTGTCAAATGTATGCAAAAGTTCATCAAAGATGTGATGTGAAACACCCTACATAAACATGTATTTTTAACCCTAATCAATAATTATCCCCTTTTATCCATCAATTTCAAAAATCAACAAAACCCTAAAGTTATTAACAAAAGTTAGAAAACCATACCCTGCAGCAATCACTATTTTTAGCTTCTTTTCTAACAACATTAAGAACATAATCGATAAGCTCTGTGCAATTCCTAACCTATAGGAACCTGAATGCATAATATAAGTTAGCTGAGCATAGAACTGGAGATCATCACGAAGATTGGGTGGGAACAAATAAACTTTGAGCCTTTATCCTTTGTTTCTTAAACCGTGAACCAGGCCACGTTACAACCCTCAAAAGACCTAACTGAAACAAGGTTATTTTGAATGCATACTACAGCAAGGTTGCATAAGCTGACTCCAAAAGAACTTTGTGAGTCATTTATTTTGGCAGTACACCTTTGTTTTAAATTTTGAGCGTCTTGAACCACCGTGTTCTGACCAACGACTCATTTATTTTTCATCTTTCAAAAATGATTTTGGTTTCAAAAGTTGCATGAACTTTTCATTACCATGTTTGTATGAATATTTTTGTTTGCAAATTGGCTTTCCTCTAAGGAATTTTCAAACAATGAGAAACTTGGTCGGTGATCCTATCAGGGGCAAGTTCCTTCCAGATCCTATTAAGAATCAATTCAAGATTTGTTCAAGGCAAGTCCTTCTCAGATTTAGTTTATACAGAAGATTCTCCAAGACTCATACTGGGGCAGACCTTCCAGGGGCATAGTAGCGCCATCATCTACCGAATCAGACAAGTTAAAGTAATTATCAGTTCATCGCTAACAGACGGTTTAATATGGGGCAGTGTTGCACCCTAAAATTTGACCAACCGATTCTCCTATCTGACTCATGGTTTAATTTCATATTCGCAGCTCAGATGTATGATCTTTGTGCAAAACAGGGGAATATCAGAGTTTACAGCTTGATTTTCGTCCATCAGATATGGCAGACCCAGTCCAGATCACCAGGGTTTTATTTTCAGGAAATTGTGCGCTCCTCGGTGATTTTTAGCTTGCACAGTGATTTTGAGGATATTCGGATGCCCGGGGATCTCTGTTCGATTCAATCTGGTCTCGTGCGCTCTTTTATGGGGGTCATTTGCATTCACCTGCATTTTTAGGATTTTAATAGACTTTTGTGAATTTTTAACAGGCTTTATAGATTTTTCTGGAATTTAAATAGGGCTTTTGAATATTTTAATAGCTTAATCCTCTTTTTAGAATTTTATAGAATATTTTAAATAGATTTTAATAGAATTTAAATAGCTTTTATCATTTTTAGAATATTAGTGAATTTTTCTTAGCATATTAAATAGAATGATAAATTAGGGTTAATAGAGATTAAATAGTTTTTAGGTAATATAGAAAATAATATAGTTTTTTCTTATTAATAATAGATCTTAATAGATATTAAATGATATTAGGATTTTAATAGAGAATTAGTAGAATTTTAGGGTTAATTAGATCTTAATTGATTTTTAGATTTAATTAGGATAATATAGAATTACTTAGACTTTTAATCATTTTTTAGAGTTTAATTAGGTTAACTGAATTTTAGAGTTAATTAGGTCTTAATTGATTTTTAGGTTTAATTAGGATAATATGAGTTTTAATCATTTTTTAGAGTTGATTAGGAAATTAGTTAATTAGGTGTTAATTGTTTTAATTAGAGATAGTTAGGATTAATTGTCTTTATTAAAATTCAGTTTTTTTACAGTTTGTGTTGGTCATGTTCGTATGGGCCCAGGGGGTTTTTGGTGAGGCCCAATTTTCATCAATTGGCAATTCAGAAGTCCAGAAAAATGGTCCAAGCAGCCCAATTCGTCCAGCTTCTTTCCAGCAGGGTCCAGAAGTGTCCAGAAGATTCCAGCGAGTTTCAGTGGCATAAATAGCATGCAGCCACGTGTAGCAAACAGGGGGGTCCCACGCGTTTCGTAGAGAGCACGCCACCACAGCTCAGAGAATTCTCCCAGACTCCTCCACGTGTTCACAGCTGTCCCCCATTCTCTCTCTCTCTCTGCGCATGCACGCCACTTGGCGCCCCCACACCATCGCCTGAGTTTCACCAGCAACCTCACCGGCGGCCATGCATCAGCCCTAACTGCACACCGCCGGCCACCGTCAACCAACTCCGGCCACCGTCATTTCCGCCGGAGATACCAAAAACCCAGAATCCTTCATCTTCTTTCTTCGACCTTCATCCTTTCCTCCGATCTCCTCCCTTCCACCTTCATCATCTTCGCCGGAAACCTCAAGATTTTTCCAGAACACGTTCATCCACCTCCTTCGTTCTTCATACAATTTTTTCCAGAATCCATCCAAACCAAAATCACCAGAAACCTCCTCCACTTCTCCAGAACGCCAACGTTCTTCATCAACTTCTCCAGATCGCCATCATCTTCATCCCAGGATTTCCAGGAATCCACCAGGCTTCAGGATCTTCAACTTCATCAACCGATCCTAGTTATTCTCGCGCGATTTTCCTCAAGGATCTTCAAAGTTCATCAAATCGTCAAGGAGATTCGTCCGTTGTCAGAATCCCTCGAAGGTGTTCATCAGCCAAACTCCAGATTTGGAGTTCTCTTCAATACGACTCAAGATCTCCTCGTCAAAAATTCCAGAAGCTTCACAATTTGCCCGTATTCCACATCCAGGTGCGTTGATTCTTCGATCCTTGTTTGCGTCTTGTTTTGATTGTTGAAGCGTATGGATTCAATCTTGGCTTGAACTGGAATTTAAGTTGAATATAGTCTTGAATTGAGGTTCGTTTAGATGTAGGTTAGGGTTCGGTTTCAGGTCATTGTGAGGATTTGTTTGAGGTTCGAGGAAAGGAGGTTCAGAGGGAGCGTTTGAGAGGTTGGGGATGATGGTGGTAGGGTTTCCAAGAGTGAACAGTACCAGAGCGTTTTGAGAGGAGGATAGTTTTGATTAGGGTTCCCCAATTGGATTAGGGTTAGGCCATTGGGCTTAGGCCCAAGTGTATTTGCTAAGCACTACATCCCAAATTGCTTCCCCAACCCCCTGGCGTGTGAGTCTGAGTGATAGGAGTTGGGCCTTAGGCCCTAATTACTAATGGCACCCCCTTGTCCAAGCCCATAATGAAAAACAACTGGAGAATCTGCTAGCTGCACCCCCATATGTTTTTTTTTTCTGATTGTTTGGTTTCTGAACCTGGGCCCTGCGCCCAAATGCTAGTTGCACCCCCCCAGCATAGGCCCAATGAGTAATAACTCATAAAACCATTGCTGTTTGAACCCCCTCCATTTCATTTTCCTTTATTTTGATTTTCTTTTATATTTTTCATGCTTTGTAAATAAATCATAATAAAATGTAAATAATTGTTTTTTTTTTTAATAATTCTTTTTTCTACCATTTCATGAAAATGTTAAGAAAATTAAATAAAAATAAAAATGACATTTTATTTTTGTTTGTTATTTTTTGCATATTTTCCAATTAATTGATTTCTTTTTTAATATTTTCAATGCATGCATATCATTAGAAAATTCATAAAAAATGGTAGATTTAGTCAAATAATTCCGTTCTTTTTTCTGTGGACTCGTAATTCAGTGGAGAATTTTATAGTACAAAAATATCAGCTTAATCATGCATTTTTATTGTAATTGCATTTTTTCACTGTTATTGATGTTGGATAAATTGGTTTGTGGATATGTCTGTGTTGCTGATTTTAGTTCTTTCATCTGGTGTTGAATTTTGTTCTGATTTTTCAGTATGTTATCCTAGAGCCATGTAGATCTCCCATTAGATTTTGTTAGATTTTTGTAGGGTGTTCTGATATGATTTGTCTGAGCCTGAAGATAGGAGAAGTCTTGATGACTTCTGACTTTGAAGTTCAACTGTGGT